TCCAGCCAATCCCTCCGTATTTTTAAAAGCAAACTAACTTAAATTTATTTATCGGTAGTTTTAAATAGTTTTTAATAATTTTCAATAGTTTTTAATAGTGTTGTATATTTAGTATAGCTTCACTTATTATTATCTTAGAGTTGGCGTGATGTCCTAAACGATTTTGCCGACATAACGATATTTAGATTTAGATTTAGAACACAGTAGATCTCGGTAACATGTCTGTTGGCGAAGAAAATGAAAGAAAGCTAAGCAAACAAAGAAACGACCCACGTACTTCACGACGCTTGGAAATGCCAACGACACCAACGAACAAGACTTCGTCATCTGTGGCCATAACACCCCCAAACAGTGGAAACTCGCAGAGCTGAAAACAAGAATGTCTCCCCGAATCTTAAGAAGATCAGCGAAAAGGATGATTTGGATACTCCAGAAAAAGTGCTGTTGATGAAACAGCGAAGCAGTCGCGTTATCAAGGACGTGCATTACGTTTGCGAACGAAACAGGGAAAGTTTGGCGATGGTGCTTCAAAACGTGTGCGCATTTGGCGACCCAGAAGCGAAAGCCATCGTCAATGAAATTGTCGAAGAGGTGGCTGTAAAAAGGGGAGTAGGAATGTTTATCAAAAGTGCCAATAAATCTGGTTTTAAAAGTTAGGATTTTTTCCCGCTTAATTAATATGTGCGAGATTTACATATTTTCATAAACAGATGGCGGTCCTTTACCCGAGTTTATGAGTAGTGCCAATGCATGGGTGTCAAGTTTTCCTGGCTAGAATGTGATGATAATTCTCTAAAGGTGTACCTTTTTGGGTATAATATATGTGAGCCTATGGTTAAGACTATACTAGAATTACTTTTTCAGGTCTGATTTTCGCTATTGCATAAATAGCGCTCTCTACTGCGAGGATCGTGCATCATGCGTACAGAATTACTTTTATCGCCTCGGGAAGCTGTGATGAAGGGAAGCACTTTGAATAAATTTAAACCAGCCAATAGCAAAAATATATCAAAAAGAGACAGCATAATCAAAACGACAAACAAGTTTCAACCGGCAGGAATTGAACAGTGAGGGATGTAGCTATGGAAAAGATAAGAAAGCTTTTTTTATTAGTTAAGCCGGCTCTTTTTTCTCATCTACATCTTCAAAATTACTTTATGTCTTTGTTTTCAAGAGCAATTTGAGCCAGCGTTAAGCTCTTTTTCAGCAGGTGAAACTAAAAGTGTAGAGTAACACAGTATTTTCTGTAGCTAGAGATCACACCCGTGGGTGCAGTATAACCCAATGTTTTGTTTAGTCAAAGATGACTAACATAGGCTGCATTTTAGGTGGCACACCCATGGGTGCAGTGTAACCCACTTTTTTATTTAGTTTAAGATAGCTCACACAGGCTGCACTTTAGGTGGCACACCCGTGGGTGCAGTTGTAACCGAGTGTTTTATTTAGTTAAAGATAACTAAACCTGGGCTGCACTTTAGGTGGAACACCCATGGGTGCAGTGTAACCCAGTTTTTGTTTTTTTGAGGTAGATGTTACAAACATAGGCTGCACTTTAGGTGGCACAC